AAGAACACAGGAGGAGGGGGAGAAGGAGACAGAGAGAACACAGGGGGAGGCAGAAGAACACACGGAGGGTGGGGAGGTGAGAAGAAATCGACACGAGGTGGGGGAGGAGAAGAACACAGGAGGGTGGGGGAGGAGTAGAACACAGGAGGGTGGGGGAGTGAGTAGAACACATGGGGGGAGGTGAGGAGAACACAGGGAGGGAGGGGGTGAAAAGAACACCGGAGGTTTGGGGGGGGGGAGAAAAGAAAACCGGAGGTTTGGGGGGGGGATGAGAAGAGCACATGGAGGTTGGGTGGGTGTGAGAAGTGACTGCTAAGGGAGGGGGGTGGAGAGGAGAGACCACTAGGGGCAGGGGAGAGCTCTAAAGGACAGGGGGCAGGACAGGTAGCTCTTTCACACTACGCGCGCACACACACAATGCATCCCTATACATACACAGAAACACACAATACATCCCTACACACACAGAAACACAACATGCTTCCCTTACACACAGAAACACAACATGCTTCCCTTACACACAGATAAACACACAATGCATCCATTACACACAAAGAAAATGCATCCTTTGCACACATACACAGAAACACACGATGCAAACCCTTACACACACATGCAAACACACACACTGCTTCTCTTACATATACACAGAAACACAATTCATTTCATACACACACTCCATGCACACACTTACAGACACACACCTTGCATCCCTTATGCATACAAACACAGATTCACAGAATACATCGCTTATACACAAACACACACTGCTTCCACTACAAACAAATACACTGCATCACCTACACAAACTGCTATCCCTATACACTACATACCATAAGCACACACATTAGATCCTCTACAATAACACATAACACATCCCCTACACAGTCCACTCTCTGTGAGCGAACTCATGGGTGGAACATGTAGGTGGACTTTTAGGTGGGCCTTATGGACATACTCACAGTTAGGCCCTGGGGCCCAGACCTTGAGCTGTTTAAGGGGCCCCAAAAAATGGAGCTGCTTCCAATTCTCTCAGAACATTGAATTTTGTGATCACAGTTGCAAACAGCCTCCAGAGATCCTGTTCTACACCAGACCAGTGGAGCCAAACTGCAGCCCATCATCATCCTCATCTGGTTGTAAGTAGGCAATCTAGTATATTATTAGTGACACTAATCTATAATTTACCTCACATTAAAGGGACACTATAGTCCACAGAGCCACTTCAGCTTAATGGAGTGGTTCTGGTGTCTATAGCCGGTCCCTGCAGGCTTTTTAATGTAAACACACACTGTGTGCAGCATTGGCATTAGTTCATATGGCAGATCATATAGGTGGGGCATTGTGATGTCACATGGGGGGCGGCAAATTTTTCTTTTGCCTAGGGCGGCAAAAATCCTTGCACCGGCTCTGATCCTGGGCAGGTGCACTAGTCTACTGGTGACCCACAGGAGGGGAGTGCACTGATTGCACTGCACTCTCCTCCTGCCCAGACCTGTCTTTACCGCATTGCAAGTGCCTTCTGCCCCTAATTTACAGTGGCTAACACTCACAGCAAGCAGTGCCTGGAGCCCTTTGCAGAGACGGGAATGAAGAGGTTCTGTGGAAGCTGGCCGTCCTGCAAGCATTACATTAAACAGCTGTTCCCCATGCAGCCACAGGTGCCGCTGTGCTGGGAGATTGTGATTACTCTTCACTTCCTCCCAGCCTACCGAGCAGCACATGGGAGAGAGAGGAGGAGGCATGATTTAATCTTACAACAAATCCACTAAGCAAATCTTTATAAATTTGGGGGGGATCAGCTCTGTCTCCACAGTTTATTGGTGTTTACTCTGATGTCTGTATTAATATTGAGGGATTTCTAAGAAATAACATCAGTGTGTATCAGCAGGGCCAGCTGTTGGGGTGTGCACGCTGTGCGGTCACACAGGGTGCCATAACAACAGAGGCGCCCGGCGGCCAACACAGCTCACAAGTTGGGGACACCAGCATATTCAATTTAAACGATTCGCTAGTGGTCCACTGGTGCGCACCAGCAGTAGATGTAGTCAGATTATAGCCTCTCCCTCGTGGTTCCGGCGCTCCGTTAGGGAGTCAGAGCACAGACTCAGAGATTCTCAGCCTGCGCTCTGACAACATTGAAAGTCAGAGCCGTGAAGGAGTGGGTATGGCAAAGAGCTACTGATTAGCATAACATCAATATCCATTATAAAACCAGGAAAAGGTGGGCATGGATGGTGAACTGATTTGGTGGTGCAATGGGACACTTGACTGGTTTTGCCCCCCAGGCCTAAGGCTGCCAGCCCTCCCCTGACTGTGTGTGATATTTGTAATGGGTGTATTAACAGTGTGTGATATGCGTGTATTGGTTGTATGTGATATTTGTACTGAATTTATTCGCTGTGTGTGATGGGTATTTAATTCAGATAAAAACATGCATTTAGGCCTGTGTGTGAATGCAGGTGTATATTTTTGCAGAGTTATGTGCACACAATCAGATGTACACAGTTATACATATACACAGTCAAATCCACCACATGCACATAGTCGCATGCAGATAGTCACATACACAGGTACAGGCAGTAGCACTCACACACACACAATTACAGGCAGACAGCCACAAACACACACACACAAAAGCAGACAGTCATACAGTCACACACGCATACAGTCACACAGGCAGACAGTCATACACACAGTCACACACACAGGCTGACAATCACATAGACACACACAGGCAGACAGTCAAACACAGACCGCCACACACACACATAGGCAGACAATCACACATAGTTACCTCTATTCATTATGGAGGTGGAGGCAGTGCAGATCCTGGAGACTGGTTGTTGGGGAAGCAGGGACTCCTTCCTGCTTCCCCTGCAGCAGTTACCTGGTACTTTTAGCTCTGCCCCTGCCGTCAGTTTAGCTCCGCCTCCGCCGCACAGGAAGCTCCACCTCTACCGCAAATTTTTTTATTTTTTTTTAAAACCCCTTAAGGACCAAACTTCTGGAATAAAAGGGAATCATGACATGTCATATGTCCTTAAGGGGTTAAATCCCGGCCGGCCATGTGTGAGCTGTGTCGGCCGCAGGGCGCCCCCTGCTCCATGGTGCCCTGTGCGGCCGCACAGCTCGCACACCCCTAAGGCTTGTCCTGCATGCAAGCCTGCAACGGCAGGTGCAGATCAAATGAATAACACATGCCAGCCTGCAACGGCAGGTATAGCTCAACTGAATAAAACATGCCAGCCTGCAACTGCAGGTATAGATCAACAGCATAGGGCAGCACAAAACCAGGATACACCACTGACTATAGTGTTCCTTTAATAACACAGTCACAGGCTAGGCAAAACTCATATGTCTAGCTTATCTCTACAGAGAATCAAAAATGTCAGCTGGAGACTACAGTTCCTATTACACGTAGCCAGTCAAAATGCTTCCATGATGCTGGCTAGGCATAACAGCAAGGGTAGTCATGGCTCCAACCTGATAACTGTTCATATTCAAATAATCACTGTAAACCAGGCGTGTCCAACTCTGAACCGCTTGTAATGCAGCCCAGTTGCCATCCATGCTGCTGGGTGGCGAGAGAGGCAGGAAGCCCATTACTTACGGTGCTCTTTCTGCACAGCTCCCTTAGGCACCCTCCAGGTAGCCGGCAGCTTGGATATGATGTAATCTCAGCATTAGCATCACTAGTGGGCACGCAAAGAGCCTGTCCAGGAAGAGCACAGTGACCCCATCACAGCAGCAACCACTTCCCACCAGGGAGAAGATCCACTTCAGTCCTCACAGAGCAAAGTAGGGAAGCTGGGTGGACCTCATAATTACTAAATGTGTATGAATGTTAATAATGTGTGCTTGTAATTATGAGTGTATGTGATTGTGCGTCTGTGATTGTATGTGTGTACAGGTCTGTGATATATGTATGTGTTTAGCAGATAGCTCATTTGTTTGGTATCCTTAAATATGGCAATCCCATACAGGATAACAAATAAGGGAGTTATCTACTAAACAAATTAAATATATTATAGAAATTAACCACTTAAGGACGGAACCATTTGTACAAGTCCGCAATCCCTGGCTTCTCTTTTACACCTTTAATTCTCTTTTTCGCCCTGATGTGGCCACCCCCCAAACATACTTACAGCCGATAGCTTTGCATGTTTTTTTTACCGATTTGATTGCGGTTTCCTGTCCTAATGTGTTTTATACCCCACCTCCTATAGGCTGTAAGCTCTTCAACCGCTCTTTCCTGTAAGTTTTCTTGTAATTGTCCTATTTATAGTTAAAGCCCCCCTCTCATAATAGTGTTAAGCACTACGGAATATGTTGGCGCTATATAAATGTCAATAATAAAAACAAAACCTGGAATTTGCTCTAGAAGTTTGTACAACCATATTTCACCTCTTTCATATTACTAGCACCCACACTTATTTAATATCATTTTGTTCAGGATAAATAGGGATATAATTTCACATCAAATAGTCACATATGAAACCAACATGCTCACTTTGAAAGGGGGTGTACTTGTCATAAGTGATGACAGCCTCCCCTCCCCCGGCCCAGTGGCGTACTAAGGGGGGGGCGGCGGTCCGCCCCGGGTGCCAGCAGGATGGGGGGTGCCATGGCCAGCCCCCCCGCCCCCCCCCTCATGCTGCAGCCGCCCGAGCGCTCTGTATAGAGCCTCAGGCGGCTGCAGCTTTGCCCGGGCGGTGCATCCATGAGGGCGGACCGCACCGCCCGGGCGCAGCCTGAGAAAGGGGGCTGACAGGAGGGAGCGCTCAGCGCTCCCTCCTGTCAGCTCCCTCACTGCAGCATGGTCCGACGGGTACAGAGAGCAGCTGTCTCCTGTACCCGGCCGGACTAACAGGAAGTGCACACATTGTGTGTTTACTTCCTGTTAGTCCAGCCGGGTACAGGAAACAAAAGCTACCTGTACCCGCCGACTATACTGTGCACGGCCACGCTACAGGGAGGTAGGGGGGAGGGGGAGAAAGAAGGGGGAGAGGGGGGGTGAGAAACAAGGGGAGAAAAGAAATAAGGGGGTGAGAGAGGGGTGAGAAAGAAATAAGGGGTGAGAAAAGAAATAAGAGGGGGGTGAGAGAGAAATAAGGGGGGAGAATATAAAGGGTGAAAGAGAAATAAGGGGGGTGAGAAAGAGAAATAAGGGGGGGTGAGAGAGAAATAAGGGGGGGTGAGAAAGAAATAAGGGGGGTGAGAAAGAGAAATAAGGGGGGGTGAGAAAGAGAAATAAGGGGGGGGTGAGAAAGAAAGGAGGGGGGTGAGAAAGAGAAATTGGGAGGAGGAGAAGGAAATTGGAGCGGGAGGAGAGATTGACATTCATCACATACACACAATGCACCCCTTGCACACAGAAAAACACACAATGCATTACACACACAGACACACATACACAAGCAATGCAACCGTTACACACAATGCATCCCTTACACACACAGAAACACACAATGCATTCATTACACACACTCAATGCACCCCTTACACACATTCAATGCATCCCATACATACACAGAAACACACCTTGCAGCCCTTACACATACAAACACAATTTCACACAATGCATTCCTTACACACATATCAGGACATCCCCTACACACTCCACCCCCTGTGAACAAACTCATTGGTGGAACATGAAGGTGGACCCTGGGACCCAGACCTTGAGCTGTGTAAAGGACCCCCAAAAAATGGAGCTGCTTCCCGTTCTCCCAGAACATTGATTTTTGTGACCACAGTTACAAACCGCCTCCAGAGAGCCTGTTCTGCACCAGACCAGTGGAGCCAGACTGCAGCTAGAGCCCATCATCATCCTCATCTGGTTGTAAGTAGGCAATCTAGTATATTATTCGTGGCACTAAGCTCTAATTTACCTCACATTAAAGAAACACTATAGTCCCCAGAACCACTTCAGCTTAATGTAGTGGTTCTGGTGTCTATAGCCTGTCCCTGCAGGCCTTTTAATGTAAACACGGCGGCACTGCAGCACTGGCGTTAGTTAACATGGCAAATCATATGGCTGGGGCATTGTGATGTCACATGGGGGGCGGCAAACTTTACTTTTGCCTTGGGCGGCAAAAATCCTTGTACCGGCCCTGGCTGGAGGGGGCTGTGTGAGCTGTGGCCGCACAGTGTCCCATGGTAGTTAGGGTGCCGTGCAGCTCACTCAAGCAAACAGCTGATAAACTGGCCGCACGGAGGAAATGTGTATGTGTGACTGTCTGCCTGTGACTGTGTGTGACTGTCTGCCTGTAACTGAGTGTGTGACTGTCTGTCTGTAACTGAGTGTGTGACTGTGTCTGTAACTGAGTGTGTGACTGTGTCTGTAACTGAGTGTGTGACTGTCTGCCTGTAAATGTGTGTGTGGGGCTGCAGGGATTTTGTAGAAGGGGGTGGGGGTTTTGTATTGGGACAGGAGTCTTTATAAGGGGGGATAAGCAGGGGATTTGTGGAAGGGGGTTGCGGGGGTTTTGTAGATGGGGCAGTACAGGATTTGTAGAAGGGGCAGGACAGAGGTTTTGTAGGAGGGGCAGGGCAGGACAAGGGTTTTGTAGGAGGGGCTGACAGCGGTTTTGCAAAGTTTACAAATTGTAAAAATAAAAGAAATAAAACCTTTAACATTTTTTACAGGTTTTTTTTTTTTGGGTGGGGGGGGGTGCCAAGCACAGGATCCGCCCCGGGTGCCAAATGCTCTAGGTACGCCCCTGCCCCGGCCCTGCCCCTTTCTC